CGCCGCGGCCCTGCGGGGGGCGAGGCCCCGCCGGCGAGGCGAGCTGGCGGCCCCCGCGGAGCAGGCTCGCATCCGTCCTCTCGCGCGCGCGCGCAGCGCTCGCGGCCTGGGACCAATACGTCACGTTACAGGTGCAATTACCCACGTGCTCCCACGTGCAACGAGAGCTCCTAACGCGACTGCACCGAGCGGGTGTACGTTCGAGGGCAGATTTGCAGCGCTGGGCTGTCACTGCTTCATTTTAAAGCACAGACCATCATGAACTATCGAACGTGCTTTTCTGTTTCCCCATCTGCACTTGCTATCGATGCCGGACTTGCTCTGATACGCTAACCGGCTGCAGGCAGAGGCTATTCATTCACCAGAGCCGGCTCCCGCCAACGAAGCCGTTTTGTTGCTTTGGGCTGGGACTCAAGATATTGTCCCCCTAATCGGGGGGGGGACAAGAACGTAAGAACGGAAAGATAAAATTCTTGCCTCAACTCCCTATGCAGGAGGGACAAAAAGCTAAAGAAAGTTCTTGTTTTCGTCTCGTTTAGCAGATGCGCACGGGCTCGCGCGGGAAGCGAGCACCTTCACAAGATGGATCTTCTGCGCTTTTATCTCACGCAGCCATACTTTTCAGCAGGGCCCTAGTTCTTATGCTGAAAAATAGAAGCAAAGCAGCTAAGAAATCTGATGTGGGTTAATAATTCACTCCCAGATACTATAGTATTTCCATCCTTCACATTATCAGGCCCTGGCATTATCACAATGTCAGTGGGGGCAATGCTGCATGACAGGCAAGATAAGTCAAACGACAAGCAGCAACTCCCGAGACCGAAAGCGTAAAGCGGCAGCAGACACACCACAAATAATACACGGTTCCTTGGCATTTGTTTTGACAGAGGGAAAGAAACGCATTTGATAAGAGAACTTCTGGCAACGGGGCCTCTGGAGCCGTTATCAGCAAGGACCCTTCCTCCTCCACGCCGCAGCCGCTTCTCCGCAACATAAATCTCGAGTACATAAAATGAAATAAGTTATAGTAATAGAGGAGTGATTTGCATGCATGAGAAATTAGTTAAAACGCTGGTGGGGGGACGAGCAAGGAGGAGCCCTGCGTGTGTGTCCTGCAGAACGTGCTCCATGTGTGGGGAGCTCGGCTGCAGCAGCGTGGTCTCCCCGGGGGGAAACCACGTTTGCTCAGGAGGCAAGAGCAAAGTTCGAGCAAGCGCGTGAATCAGCGCCGCCCCAGCAACCTGGGGAGCTGGGGCCACCGATGCCCGTCCTGCTCCCCTGCCCCTGGTTCCCACCGCGGAGCGCCTGCCTTGCCACGCGCGGTCGAGGCAACTAAATAAACAAGCCCTGGAAAGAAGTGCAGGAACCATGTTCAGGCCAGCCTCAAATGAGCTACGTTTCTGGATACCTCTGTGAAGCATGAAATGCTTTAAATAAAATCATAGAAAAAAAAGATTAGCAAGAACTGGCTTTATGCGTCAATTCAAGGTGTAATATAATAAACCTACTGCCTCCCTCACACCTCCAGCAGTTAGGGAAAAACTGCCCTGCAAATGTGTTTTGAAATGAGATCGGGGAAAATTAATTCCATAATTCATGGGACAGATTTGTAACGTGTGACTTTGGGGAGATATTCGGTAGGGGCTGCTTGCACTGATAAATGAATTCTGCGTTGCCAGCTAAAGCATGTTCTCTGGCTTGTATCTACCAGGTTTTATGAGGGCTGGTAACAGATTCTAAAAATATGCACAATAAACTGTGTTTTCTCCCTAAGGGGTCTATGGTTTAATTATGTTCTTAGTGAGAACCATTAAAGTGCTAAGTACCTGAAGACTCCTAATTTACTAAACTATATGCTACTAAAACCCAACAGAAGGCTATTATACACCAGAGTAAACGCTCTTCTCTGGGACTGTAAATGCACATGGTCTCTCCTCCCAACTCCCTTTTCCTTATTACATAAACTCTGATGAAGTATTTAATCCCAGCGTTAGATACCCCATCTCAGACTAGGAAAATCTCCAGGCTCTCCTACACATGTGCATGGAAACAAGCCCTGCATTGTCCTTGAGCAACCCACTGCTGAAGCAGGGCTGCACATACTATTCTTTTATCACGAGTGGCACAACTCCCATGCAGTAACTGCATGGCATTTGAGCGCAAAGTTGGAGCGTAGGAAAGACAATGTCCTCTTAGACTGCACGCGAGGAGGAGTCCAGAGACATAGCAAGGGAGTTTTGTCCTTTGCAAAGATGGGCTTTTACCTTCCTTCACTCCACAACAAGGCTGCTGCGGTGTCTTCAGGAGTCTCCGTTGTGTTTGTGTGCTTGGCTGGGTACCTCTATAGCCAAAACTTCACAAAGTCTTTTAAAAAATATTAGCAAGTTATGAACCGATCTATCTCAAAAAGGTGAACAAACAATCCATTATTTTACCTCTTTATATAAGGTAAAGTTGGATGATCTATTGATTCAGATAACCAAAAGTAGACTTGGCATTAATATTGAAACAACACTAAGGATGGCTAGCGGGACAGCCTTTCAAAATACCGCCCTGGATGCCCATCTCAGAAATCCGTTTTCATGAAAAACAATGCAAGCGCTAAATACTGTTAAACACTCAAGATACTGTAATTCATTTTTACATGGAAAGGCACCTCCTGAACCACAACACTCAAATCAGGGTGCAGATAACTACAGAAAAATCTTGAAAAACTTAGTAGGAAACTGAAAAACACCACACACGAATAAATGATGAGAGCAATCCACTATTCAATCAAAAGATATAGGATTAGCTTGACCCAACAGACACTTTATTAACAGTGTGTGGGCACCCGAGGGCTCCAGCAGTCAAAAGAGAGGGAGTCCTTGGCACAAACAGAAAGGTGTGAAGAACAGGAGTATCCTGTCAAGCCAAATGGAAAACCATGCTGCGCATTATTATTAAACGCCTTCCTGCATGCTGCTGAAACATGCAGACGAACACAAAGCACAGCCCTCCAGCTTCCCTAAGCACCGAGGCATGAACTCGTCTTCAAAGAAAAGCACTGAGTTCTCTTGTACTTTGGACCGAAAAAAAAAAAAAAAAGGATTCTCCACTGCAGAGAATTATTTGATCAACAGGATCCAACAGGCTGCTTCTCTGCCAGTCTACTCGGCTTCAGATCTTGACCCTTCCTCCTGACGCATCTGCAGATCAAAGCTCCGCTTTCCAAAACCCGAGCAATGGTGTCCCAGGCCCAAGCAGGAGCGCAAAGGAAGGCGAGCAGAAAGCAAATAAGGTGGGTCACTTCCACCGCTGTTGGCACGTGTGGGAAGATCTGCGTTTTTGCTGAAGTCTCTCAGTAGGTACCATAACCAACTGCTTTTGCAAAATACCTCTCTTCAGAAAGGGGGAGAGTATGTTGAGCTTCTGCCTTCCTCGCTGGGGGGGCTTTGTGGTAGGCGCATTATGGGTGCAGCAAGCCTGACTGATGAGCAACATCATGATTGTGCACACAGTTACACAGGTAGGCTATGGTTTTGACAGGAAACTGAGCAGCAAACTGCTCGGCCTCTTGTGCAAATCCCAGCTGTAATTGTGTGTGAGCACAGTACATGTTCACACATGCATTTTGATACATAGATGCGTGCACACAAGTCCCCATGTGCATGCTACGAACATACTTGCCTATGCAACAGCTAAATCAGTTAAAAATAACCCCTTTGAAACCTTCCCATTGTTAATGTAATTCCAATCAAAAT